AGATTCTGAGCTTTTGAAAGGAGATGGATCTTTCGCTGGCAAAACCATGAACCAGCAGGACTTTGTAAACGTTAAAGGAGAGCGGTATGACACTAAGCGTCCTGAGGACTCCGAGATCTTCAATGGAGATGGTTCTTTCGCTGACTTGACTATGAACCAACACGATTTCGTGGCTGCGAAAGGAGAACGTTTCGAAGTTAAACGTCCTCACGATTCCGAGATCTTCAAAGGCGATGGTTTTTTCGCTGACAAGACTATGAATCAACACGATTTCGTGGCTGCGAAAGGAGAACGTTTCGATGTCAAACGTCCTCACGATTCCCAGATCTTCAAAGGCGATGGTTCTTTCGCTGACAAGACCATGAACCAACAAGAGTTTGTCACAATGAAGGGAGAGCGCTACGACATCAAGCGTCCTAAAGATTCTGAGCTTTTGAAAGGGGACGGATCGTTCGCCGGCAAAACCATGAACCAACAGGAATTTGTATATGTTAAAGGAGAACGGTACGAGATTAAACGTCCGAAAGACTCAGTAATCTTCGAAGGCGATCGGTCCTTTGAAAACATAACCATGAATCAACACGATTTTGTAAATGTTAAGGGAGTGCGCTACGACACCAAACTACCTAAGGATGCTAAAATTTTCGAACGGGATGGTACATTTTTAGACAAAACAATAAATCAGCAAGAGTTTATAACAATGAAAGGAGAGCGTTACAAGATTGAGCAGCCCAAGGATACACTGAAATTCGACTCTAGCATCGGAGATGATTTTCTTCGCTCGGTGTATCAGTACGACTTTAAACCTATGGAAGGAAAACTCAAAAGGGTATGCTTTCATGTATTTTCTCATTCTTTTCATTCGTCCTTACCGTTTTCTGTTTAGACAAGGAGTTTTGACTTTTTCGATCCTGTGAGAAGAGGTACGGCGCGATCTCAGCATCAGTTTTCTTCAAATTTTTCTGCGGGTAAGCATGCTTTTGAGTGTGATTTTCCCCACTAACAGTAATTTCGTTAACGCCAATTTTTACTAGTCATTCCACAGCTCATGTGATTGCTTTCTGATGGTCTTTATTCTCAGACATATTTTCAAACAACAATGTATAATCCTCGAACTATTTGGAGACAAGCCCTAGTGTATCTATCATGAAAATAAAAAAGTGCTCTGAAGTGACCATGCAAATACTGAGCGGCTTTGCCTTCAATTTGGGCGAAATGTACAGCGTCCATCCCTTTTGCTGCAACAGGGGGCGTGCTCATGCTGCACAGCATTCCTTATTGTTATATTAGACTCCGAAAATGCTGTAACTTTCTATGCTACAAATTACATAATATGATAAATTTACAGCAATATATCAAATATATGGTATTATCTCAGTTTATTTTATTCTTGTATCATAGCTCTAAGTGAATTCAATGAGATGATTTGAAGGCAAGCGACATGGCATTTCCACATTACTGTGCTTATCTAATCAAAGTATTGACGACAACTTTGTTCCTGCTCGCAGCAGTTACGACATGGTGAGCTATTTGATATCAATTACCTAATAGTCAAAGTCGTTGAATGTGATGTTTGAGCTACATTACTCCCAACAGAATGCTTATAAGGTGTTTGCAACGACCACTAAAAATAATGAATGTTATTTCATTTTTCAACTCAAGCATATTTCTGTGCAAGTGCTTGCAAAGGTCTAACTACGAATTTGAACTAGAAAGCATTAATTTTAAATTGGTGAGAATGGAGACATTGCTTGTAGAAAGTATCTTTCAACAACATTCAGGACTTCCCTCGTCGTGTTGTTGTGAATTGCATTGCTGGTGAACTAGTCGAATCCATCAAGGAAAATCATAAAGACACTCCTCACTTTCACTTTGAGAAGTGCGACCACGGTCATCACTTCTACTGCCGTAAGTGCAATGAGGCATCATCCAGCAAAAACGTTTAGATTTTATTGATGTTGAATGTAAGAATAGGAGATGTGATAGATAGGAACACCATCGAACTGTGCTATTTCTGTATTGCTTTTATATCCATTATACCCATTTGGGAAACATCCGCTTAACACATTCATTAGAAGTAGATTTGTGCCAAAATCTCAACAAACCACTACTTTTCTTCAATGAAATTGCAAATTACTGATTTAGCTTATCCCTTTGGATTTTTTAAAAACATTGAGCAAAACACACTGACATCAAGCCTTTGTTTCCTCGAAAACGTGTAAGAGGATTGGTCTCTGGTGACGGGCATACCTAGCTAATTGTGCATCACTTTTCAGTTGCCCATTTTCAAGCGTTAAAGTGTACCACATAACCAAAAATTCACTGCAATCCAAACTACGTAATTATCTTATGAAGGCAGCAAAGATTCCATTGTCCAGACAACATTTAGCTGATCCACGATTTTTAACCTTCTAAATTTGGATGGTCTGTCAAATTTTCCTTAGAGATATGATCATACTATGATTGCGCTGATGATTCTTTTCTTAGTATCGGTATATTCACATAGTCGGATTCGATATGATCGTTTACAGTATTACACAGCTTGCCTCACGCTTTAAAAGCAGAAAAGAAATTTATGCATTTATAAGGCCCTCAGAGCCATATAGAACATCTCAGACATCACCACTGCATGGTACTCAAAATTTTTATCCAT